TACAAAAGACCCTGAAATTACCATATAGACATCACAGGGACTGAAAAGTTGTTCTGGCATTGAATAAGCAGCAAAGAAAACCAACACTGATAGGAAATGGGTAAAAGTATTGAAGAACTTGAGTGTATTTTGATTTTTTTTTTTTAAATAAATCCAAAGTACATACATACCTTCTTCCTAGTCTAGCAATCCAGTTTGTGTGGCTAATCTGCCTAACTGACCAAACTGTCAAGAGTAACTGGTTTAGCATAATAATAAAACAGATTATTTAATGGCAACAAAGGAAATTAAACAAAATTATAGTGTAAAAAGAGATGCATCAGAAATACATCGTTAGAGAAATTTTTTTTTTTCTTTGAATGGAGAAAGTTTTCTTCAGCAATATCTTATCAAGTGAATAATCAGAACCTCATATACACTGAAAACATGGCTCTTGTGCTATGGATTATTGATTATACATTAAACAATCAACAAATCCTCATGTAAAAGTGTAAAACAAAATGTAAAACAAACTGTAGTGTTTCAGCAGAATAATTTATGACCTTTTCAGCAGCCTTTCACTAAACCATAATTTTAGCTTATACAATGATTAAATTAGATTCATGCAAATCAATTTTTCATAATGCATTTTTAAAAACAACACATTCCAATGCTAATTGTTTAACCAGAAAAAGGACAGACAAGTCCATTAACTGAAATAAAAATACATCTTAAGGGGAATTAAAAACAAACCAGTGTATTTGTTGCAATCAGACAGTCACACATCAGTCAACGTAATCTGGAGTACATTGCTGGTTTCACGGAAAGAGTAACTGTATGTAAGAATTTTAGGGCATAATTGTAACAAAGAAATGTTACAACAATATTAGTTTATAAACATTTCTCCTTGCTCATGCTCAGTAAATTAATAAGCTCAGTTCCAGCTACTGAAGCTTAAAGCTAAGCATCTAAAATTTCATAGTTTACAATATCAGTGTTGTTTCACCCATTTCTGTAACTGCTAGAAATTTTTTGTGGTAAAAGTCAACATTCATATGGTTTAAGAAAGGCAGTACCTATGTGCTTTCAATTTAAGTAGATGCAGCAGCCTATTTTAACATAAAGAAACATTGCCTCCTCCATCCCAATTCATTTATCAACAAAATAATGAAGTTAATGAATTATTTACAGTTACATAGTATTCAGCAAGACTGAGCATTTAGAAGTAATACCATTTTTCAGAACTTGCTTAAAACTCCAGCCCCCAGACAAGATGCTGCATTTTTAGAACCTACTCTGAATGATTTCAGTTTTTAGTGGACTTGAACAGGAGCAGGCGAGAGCAACACTATTGTCCACATCACTATGTCACCATACAACCTCCCCGCTATTCCACTTCATGTGGCCAACTCAAAACCTCAGTAAGAAAAGAACGTAAAATGTAGCGGCTAAAAAAGGTTTTTTGTTACTCTGCTTTTAAAACCAAGACAATCTGTTCATTCCTGTCATACAGTTCAAAAACAGAGATACAGATTTGTAACATAATCTTTTCTGCACTGCCTAAAAGATGCCCTTCCTTTTATCTTTAAAAGAATGCTCAGGAGATAAAACAACTCTTACATACCCACTAGGAGGAAAGGAAGTTTAAAAGTTAGAGGACCTAATTTTGGTTTCTCAATAAAGCAGTTGGGAAACTGCACAGTAATATTGTATATTTTGATGTGCACATAACTACTTGCAAAGGACCTCTGACATATGAATTAAGTTTACAATTAGATCGTGACAAGATACAACATACTTGTATCATGTATCAGCAGCATTTCAGTTGCTCTGAAAGTCTTATGATTTACACAAATTAAAATCTTAAAATAAATATAAAGAGAGCTTAATAGGATCATTCATTACAATATTACATCACTAGGGAACATGCCTCAACATCTGTGCTGACAGATTTTATGCAACTTCAGCAAAGGCTACATGGTTGAAACAGGAAGAAATCAGTGTCTAGTTTGATTGTTACTCTATGTGACATTCATAATATTGGAAAAAAAAGTGAAAAATACAATTAGCTTAGTTCTCAAAAAAACCTGGCAAAGCTATATTTAAATAACAAAAAAAAAAAATCCCAGCCAAACAACAAAAATCCACAAAACAAACCCCACCAGACACAACCCTACCATGCTGCAGTCTTTATCCAAGACCTCAAGGGTAGGCTTTCTGACTTGTCTGTTTCATGGCACTTAGGACCTGTGTTTCTAAGACTTTTGAAGATCATCTGTGACATAAACATGACTTTACAGTACTTGTTACCCTTGGCTTAGATTTGGCTTTAATTAGGTCTTACTCAACTAAGCACTTCTGTATGAAAATTCTACCGTGCGTTTTGTTTTATTGACTTCCTAACAAGATGCCTAGATTGACCTCAGATCTTGCTACGACATGAGGGGTTTGGAATTGGTTTAAGTATTTGGTTAAAGAAAAGTCATTTCAAAGACATTAGACATTTTTGGCAATGTTTCTGAAAGCTGAAATTCAAAAGAAGTTGTCAAGCACTTGGAAATTCATAGTTGATGACCTATGTCTCATACCTTCCCTATGAAATATTGTGCTTAACACATGGGAACAATCCCTGAATGTGACAGTTTTTTCTAACCATGGAACAAACCAACAAATTTTAATTTAAACAGCATAAAAGGAGTTTAAAAAGTAATTGCAGAGGTAAGCTCAGAATCGTCTTAGTCTTGTAAATTTAAAAAAAGATGCTTAAAATACACCTAAGCAACCACTCCTGTGAATTTGTTTTCATCCAATTTCTACTTTCCTGACTCCTCATTCCCACTCAGCCAGAAAGAAAAAATGACATTTAAAGCAAAACAATTCATCATCATCTGATTTAACAACCACTTCACATTTCAGCTTTCACAGACTATTAGCAAGCCAATGAAAAACAAACAAAAATCGTAAGAATCTGCCTTAATTCATTTTACTTCTAAAAGCATATACACTTGCTTTTTTGTTAACAAACTAGTTGTTACACCAACCTGCTCATTTTCTCTACCTGTAAATTCAATGGAACTATCTTCATATCTGTAAAGTAATTACACTGTGAAATTTACAGGAACAGTGTTTTAAATAAATTAAAACAGACTTTTTGTTGCAAACAGTTTTCTGAAACATCTTCATAACAACAAGCCTAGAATTAATTTAATGCATTTGGTGTTACTTAAGTATGTATCCAAATACTTACTATATAGACAGTGATGTTAAATTAAAAAAAAAAATTAATCATGCTGTAAGGAGAAGATTCTTATATCAAATATATGTGTACACGGAATACAACAGTAGCTATACATATACTTGCATTGTATTTGTAATTATAAAATAATTTAAATAAAATGAATTATCTTTAAAAAAAAAATCAAGCTTCTTTGAAATGGCCATCATGAGTGTCATGCAATAAGAATATTTAAGAGTGTAATCAGTTTATTCAGGTGGCAGTATTAGGAACATACTTTCTGATAATACTGAAAAAAAAGAAATCTTTAAAATTCAAAGTTGTCTAGTCTTATATGCCTAGAATTGGATACTGGCACCTGTCCTGGTTTTGGCTGGGATAGAGTTAATTTCCTTCCTAGTAGCTGGTACAGTGCTGTGTTTTGGATTTAGGATGAGAATGATGTTGATAACACACCGATGTTTTAGTTGTTGCCAAGTAGTGCTTACACTAGTCAAGGACCTTTCAGCTTCCCATGCTCTACCCACTGAGCAGGCTGGAGGTGCACAAGAAGCCGGGAGGGGGCACAGCCAGGACAGCTGACCCCAACTGGCCAAAGGGATATTCCGTACCATGGGACGTCATGCTCAGTACAGAAACTGGGGAAAGCTGGCCGGGGGGGCTGCTGCTCGGGGACTGGCTGGGCATCGGTTGGCGGGTGGTGAGCAATTGCACTGTGCATCACTTGCTTTGTATATTCTTATTAGTATTATTAGTATTTTATTTCAATCATTAAACTGTTTTTATCTCAACCCACAAGTTTTTCTCACTTTGATTCTCTCCCCCATCCCACCAGGGCCGGGGGGAGTGAGTGAGCGGTTGTGTGGTACTCAGTTGCCACCTGAAGTTAAACAATAGCAGCACCTAAACCACTATCTGGATTCACTTTTGAAAGCCTGGTAACTTAGGTGTGCACAAACTGAAATCTACAGGGATTGTAAACTTACAGTTGAAGCATACATCAAAGAACACATTGTCTTGTGAGCAGCATGCTGAGAAATAATCGAATGCTAAGCAAATCTCACCCAAACTGCTCAAAAGATGATACTTTTATCGAATGAGGCATTCATTATTATACAAGTTTATTAAAAATATTAGCAAATATATTCTAGTTCCATGGTAAACATTGTCAGTAGAAATGTATAGGCTTACGTGAATTAATGTAATATTCCTACAATCTCTTTGCACAGAGAGAAAGTTAGGGCACATAAGAAAGTGAGTTCATGAAACTTATCCAACATTGAAATACCAGCCTCAGATCTATGAAGGTTACTTACAAAAATACTATTAATCTTTTTATAATATAATCATATTAGTATTAAAATCATACCTAGATATAGTGTTCACATAAGGAGCAAATTAATACCTTCATAGACATAAAACCCTTGAATCAGACTAAAATAAATCATTATCTACAGGTTAAGAAAGAAAGAAAAAAGCCTTTAGGTTATGCTTGGTGAAACATTCATTGCAATATTGTTTGAGCACCTCCCTTGAACATCTTCTGAGTCGACTCAGAAGTTTAAGACATGTCAGTTATAAATTAAAGGAAAAAAAAAACAGCTGAAGAAAAAAAATCTTGCACATGTGATTGCAAGCATGAAATACTGGCTCTTTAGAAATATTTGGAAATTTTGTTTTTTATTTCAAAAGAGCTAAGATTATACTACAGATTAATTGGCTACTTTTCTCACCCCACCCACCACTCGCCCTCTGTGCTTTCCCCCCCCCCCCCCCCCCAAGACAGTACAAGGCACTGCAAAATCCAACAGGCAGTTTAGCATTTTTCCTAAGGCACACAATTTGCATCTTTACTAAACATTAGTCTCACCTTTATACTGAAAGAAGATTAGTGATATCCTGTCAGAATTTGCCCTCTCTAAAGCTGTAGTTTTTAAAGAGAAATCAGGTATAGAACATTTTTGCTTTTTTACCAGGCTACTTCAGATATACCTCTTACTCCATGTAAGACACATAAAGAAAAAGTTCTTGGGGAGGGAAGAGAAGGGGAAACAGACAGACATGGTAAGATCTTTTTGGTACAGAATTTTGATTTTGTAAAAACAAATGAATAGACAGATAACTTAGATTTAGACAGTCTTCTGAAGTGTCTGTAATGCAAATATTACAGATATGTAATAACTTCTGATCACAGAACTAGAAGTTCATCTGTTTTCATTGTTAAAGCTAAGTGAAATTTGGAGGTGACTACTGGGTTAAGGTAGATCAAAGATGATCTTGTCATAAATATAAGGTTATTAACAAAAATATTTTAAAAATATAACCTGATAGTGTTCATTGAAAAAATAAGATCCAAATAATAGCTCTGCAGTGCCAATTTTTTAAGTCACAGTCTTCTGTCAAATGTTGTCTTCTGATACTAGCTTGTATTCTCATACTGGTTTTGATTTTCTTATTCTTGGCGATGCTCCACCTTCTAATTTTGCTGCTCCATTGACAAAGTTAGCTGTAATTTTAAATTAAAGTATAGTAAACAAAAAATTTTGCTTCACATGAAAAAAATAGAGAAACTAGACCAGGAAAATGTTTAAAAAAAAATATCAAAAAAGCTTAAGTATTTGCTTCAGTTGAAATTAACTTGGAGTTAGGTACGTAAAATGTTTAAGAACTTTGACTGTACAAAGTTGATATGAACAGGAATCAGACAAAAGTTGCTTCTACGTCTAGCCTCCTATCTCCAGGAGCGACAGATGCTTCTTGAGGAGTATTAAAAATAGGGCAACCTACCAACATAATTTCTTTCAGGTTCCAGGGGAACTTTAGTGACTTCCTGAGGTCTACCTTGCATTTAGACCATTGTTTTATTAGCCACTGACAGACTGAACCCCAGGAATTAAATCTCAATCCATATTTTTGCAGAAATTACTTCTACAAATTATCTGTATTTTATATCCTTCTTGTGTTCATTTTAAACATGCTGCTACATTAAAATTGTCTATTCCTATGTTATGAGAAATAGCAAACAGTAATTTGCTATTTGCCTGCTCAAAATCACTTAAGGTTTTAGAGCTCTGTGGTGTCTCCTATCAGACATTTTTTGAGCTAGGTGGTAGTTAGTCTCTCCCCTTACTGTCACCTTTTTCCTGTATCTTTCTGGCAATAGTCTAAGTCTTTTCAGATGGGGTCATCGACATGGCATACAATTTTTGGGATGTAGGTACACACACAGATTTATACAACGGATGGTACATTCTAGCTGAGGGGTTTCCTGGTTTGTTTTTTTTTTTTTGGTTTGTTTTTTTTTATTTTGTTGCAACAAGGAATTGACCTGATGTTTGCAGGAAAAAAAACCCACCGATTTAAAAATCTTTCATGAGACAAATGCTAGTTTGAAGTCCATTGTTGCATATGTATAAACTATGTTTCTTTTTCTCCTCCCTTCAAAATATGCATTACTTTGAGTAGCTTAGAAATTTAGGAATTGCATTGCAAATTAGGAATTTGCCTTTTTTTTTTTTTTTTTTTACTTATTTCATGTTTGCAAGATCTTTCTGCAACTCTGCTGTAAGAAATTCGGAATAATTTTGTTTTACTTGTAGACTTTGTTTATTTATGAACATGTCACCACAGAAACTTGTTGGGCCCTGGTGGTAAGCTCTCTTCAGAGTGCCAGTTGACCATTCTTATATTTTGCATAATTACTAATTAACTAAGTATTAATCAATGTCTCTTCCTCTGTGACACCTTAGTTTAACTGGTATCTTAGTTTAGTAATTCTCCATTATTTCTTAAGTCATTTTCACTGATTCCTTAGGATTTTTTTTCCTATTATACAGCATACTTAGTATTACACCAGTAAGGCATGTGCTATCCTAGACAGTCTGCCATTTCACACTTAATACCTTTGTGTCTCATTAGCTTAAGAAGATCAGGCCACAGCACGAAGAGAAGTTGCAATAGGACAGATGGAACAAAGCAGTATATGAAGGATTTATGGCACACTTAACTTCTAGTCCTTCTTTTGCCAATTAAATCTGAACTTGGTTATTTTGGCTACATAACTCTCCACACCTAACCACCTCAAATATATATTCTTTTCCTATGCTGTTGGGATCCTACGAAAATCATGCTTAACCACTGTATGGACACATTAACTACAAACAAGTCCAAATTCTCATCTTAAGAGGTGAGGGCAAGAGGAGTCTGTTTAGCTTCAGGTAGACTAAAGAAATGACTTACAGCTAATGCCTGCAACTAAACCACTGGCTTCAGTGGAACCCAAGCTCTCCTTCAGAATATTTCTACAAGTGTGAATATTTTTGCAATTAGAAATAAGATAAAGCGATAAACAATGTACAACATCTTTCCACATATGCAGTCAGAGAGCTATAATGCCTGTGCTAGTCTTTGTTTTGCCCAATTGAAGCAAGCAGGAAGTCAAACTACAGTATCACTTCTGCTGTTCCAAACTGTAATCATCTTGGGAACTTAAGAATTGCACTAATTTCATAAAACAATACAGAAAAGCAATGAAGTTATTTATCTGGAAAGGAGAGAAGGATCTGCAAGACTGGAGAAAGAAAAAAGAAAAAAAAAGCATCTGCAGCTACATTCAGAGCAGAAAGGCTGCTCTGGAATGATAAAGAAAAACAATGTTATGAGCACCATTATGGTCTAGAATCTTCCACTTCGTTTCAACTAACACTGACTCAGCTAGTAATCTCTGAATGCAAAGAGCTTCAACCCCTCTTGGTAGAAACTAACACATAAAGATCAATTTCAGAAAGACAGCCAACCTGTGGTAAAATTCAAAAAAACCTGCAATTTTCAAAGGTCTACCCAAATCTCAGAAGCAATTCCCAATCTTTCATACATAACTCTATCCAGTGTTTTATATATATGCTAACAGGAATATGAAATTTCACTCTACTGAATCTTCATAACTCCCATTTAACTCATTTAATTGATATAAGATTGGAATTTGGAAATTATACAACATCATTTAATCAAAAGCCTTTCTCCATTAGTTGTTCTTTGCCAGCTACTATGATGTTCCTTTGGAGTTCTTTTTCAGTGGGTTTGATGTTCTTTACATGATGTGTCTTTATATAGAAGAACAAACAAACTTAATTTTAATGGTCTGAAACATAATAAAAGCAAAATTTATGAAATACAGTAGGGATTATGGATGATACTTCTTTTTTTCTGATGTTAAATAAAAAAAATTTCTTAGCAGCATTGTAAAAGAATGATTTAAAACAGAAAGAAAACCCTGGAATCATTAAGCCCAGTTTCATGAAATATTCCTTGCATTTAGATTAACATAGAGTTCAGTGAACAATCCTGAAGATTACCCAGGGCTAACACTTAATACAGTTAGCACTCTGTGTGCTACCTGTTAGCAATATGGAATTAGAGAAGAACATGTCCTAATGTTTGAAGAAGCTATAATATTATCTATATTCTCTGCATGTCAAAAGACAGATGTTTTTGCTCTTTTACAGAAAGGAAAGATATAAGATGATAAATCTGGTATAAAAACATTTGGCCTAGAAACAACTTTAAAAAACATTACGCCACTGACCTCTGTTTGGTTCCTTTTTTATTCGTTTGTTCTTTGTGTTAGTTATTTTTTTCTTTGGAATCTGGTTCTTAACATGCTCTCTCCATTTCTTCAGCTGAAAATTTATGAATTTCCACATCATCCAGGCCTGTGTTAGACAAACAGCACCCAGGCAGCCAATCCTAATAAGATTTGAGATTTTGGAGACAGTTAGATAAAAGTTTCAGTTAACCGTTAATAGACTGCAAATCTGTACCTATTTTATTTTTTCTCCAAAAGTCTACTATTGAAACAATTAAAATCTTCATACCATGGGAAACAAGATGTATCAGGCGGCTTTACCCAAGACAAGGTGTGTCACACAAGAAGTGAATGGAAATCGTATGTAAGTATATTGCTAGAAGCAATCATGTTTATCAAGCAGTTATGACCACAGCTTTCAATGGCTGATAGGAAACTGTGTCATTGAGGCCCCTTCTGCCAAGCAATCTATGAATGAGAAATCACGTAGATTCAAAATCCCTCCCACACACTTGATTACAGGCATTAATTTATAAGGGTGAATATTAAAATGATGAGCTTATGCTGAAAAAGTAATAAAATTTTAAAATTAACAAGCAAGAATAAAAGATATACAAAAAAATATTTTAGGAAGGCACCAAACAAATAATTAGTTAAAAAATTACGGGTATTATATTGCCAAATGATATTATGTCTGGTATAGACATAAGGGGAAAAAGAAAAGTTTAAAGAGAGGATTATCCCAAGCTTTTTTGATAACTATCCAAACAATTAATATAATATTTAATATATTAATCTAATTTAATACAACAATTTTTAAAAAGTTTCTTTTTTCTTTCTTTTTTTCTATTTCCCATAAATTCTGTTCAACTACTTTTGTGAAAAGAAGATAGAAAAGAGAACAAAGTGTCCCTTCCCTTAAATACTCAAAAGGAAAACATCACCCGGGGAAATTCTTCAAAACACATTATCATCCTCACTTGTTTTATTAAAAGGTATTTTGAAATGCCACATTATACAAGCATGAATGTCTACTAGCCTTGTTATACCTCACAGGGAGTACATTGAAGTTTCCATCCGCTATGGAAAAACCTGGATTCTCTACTCTTGCCAGACCAAATCCAAATGTGAGGACAGATAAAGTTAGGGTCAAAAGACGCACCATTATGAAAAGTAAAGCCCAAATGGTAAATCTGAAAACAAAATAATGAAATTAATGTGCTTTCTCCTTTTAGTCCACTTCCTTTCAATAAAGTCAAACGTACAAAGAACTTTTCATTAAAATTCTCTCAGCAATGATAGGGAAATTTCCATGGAAGGAACCAATAATTACAGAAAAACTTGGTCATCTGCAAACACTCGGTCCTGCCTCATTACACAATCTTTTGACTAGAAAGCACAATGAAGTAAAAAGATGCATCTCAAGTTGGCATTCATGCTGTAAGCCATTTATAAGTAATGGTGATGCTATAAAGCCAGAAAGCTGATTCTAAAGGTATAATATACATTTAAACAGTTAGAAGATCAAGACAATATATGTAATTTTTAACAGCCAGAGGTTTATAGGACAAGAGAAGGTAACCAGATAGCTTATAAGTAAAAAATGACAATTATTTCACTTTCTAGCTAACAGAGAAAGATGCCATCCTGCAGACTTTCAGTATCTAGAAGTTTTTACTATAAGATGTGGCAAAAAAAAAACAAACTGAAGAACAGTTTTATTAAGCTGACAATAATTAATTTAGAAAATTGGCATTATTACTGCCATTACATAAAGATTTCTACAGGAAAAAGACTTCATATTGTGTGACTGATGAATGAATTAAAGACAACACTACCAACGTGAAAAAAGTATCTTTCAAAAATTTCCATTAAAAAAAAAAATCAGCTTGTTCGACTGATTTCAAACTTAAAGAAAACATACTTCAAATCTCTCACAGTATAGGCAAGTGCTTAAAAAGCAACTCTCTTCACAGCCGCCTCCAAAAAAAAGATTTTGAGAAAAAGCTACAATGTCTGGATATAGAATTGTAAGAAGAAACAACAAATTCTGAGCTAGGAAAAATACCTAGTATTTGACATTGCGTTGTTTCTACAGTTTACATTATAAGTGCTACATGTAATAGAAATAAAATGCCCCAAACACTTCTGCAATTCATCAGCTATGAAAACCAATTTCCATTTCCAGTTATTTAAACTATGGTAATATTGCACGTGGGATAACTGATTTCCAGCCCAAGAAAGACATAGTTGCTTATTTGACCATTAGAGTCAGGAAAATATGTTCTCCTAATCGGTATATTTAGCCTTCATGCTTTTGGATGGCATATAATGAAAAGCAGATAAGCTCATAGCTCCAAAAACCCCTCAATTAAATATGACATACAAGTGAAAGATAAGCTTTTTCCCACTTTCCCTATTTGCATCAGTAAACATTTATTTTTTGCAAAGAACATTCAGCATACCTATTTAAAATGTTAGCTTTAAGGAGCAACACAAATGAATCTTGTGAAAAGACCAGAAAGAGCAGCAGCATTACACTGCCTCAAGGGAGGCTGCCTATATGTAAGGGATTGCATGAAAGCAAGCAAGGCATTCATGATAATCTCTTCCAGCTGAGCAGTCACTCAGAAAAGGAAGAAAGAATAAGAGACAAGAACACATAAATGGGACAAGGCTGCTTTATTCAAACTGGAACCTCCAAAAGTCTTTGCATTCAAATGGTGAAACGTATCCAATCCTTCCTAGCGTGCCTCATGGTTAAGTATCTCAGTTCCTCATCTCCTTCCATTCTCAAATGCATTACCCATTAATTCTCAGAATAGTTGAGAATCTTACTCAAGAGATGTATAAGTGAAGACATCTTATCAACTACTCATTTTGAGACATTACCTTCTCTGCTGTACAGTTACTTCCCTTTCTCACCTTACCAAAAGGAGAGAGACCTGCAAGAACTCAGAAGGAATGCTGCTTTTACTACTTCTTCAGTTAACTGTTTTTAAAAACAAGTGTCCCTATATACAAACATTTATGAACATTTAAGCAAACAGGCAACTTACAGAATCAGAAGCCAATACATAGATATCTGAGATGGGACTTTAGCAAATAGCTTCAGAAAAACCTTATGATGATCATCATGAAGTGGTTTATTTGCTTTCTTGACTCTATGTAATAACAATGACTTGCTTGTGAATTCAAAGCAGGTAATAGTGGACAATGAACAAGTGATGTTTGCTGTCTGAGTACTTTTACATACATGCAAATCCATTTATACGCAATTAGTAAGCAAAGTTCTGAATTTTAAGCAATATATGCAAGATTTACCCTTTTTGCTTGTTTTCATCACTGAAGTAGAAGAGACGTGAGGCATGAAAAATGAGTTCCACTAAATAGTGAGGTACCATCAGAATTAGCCCCAAATGCTGCAAACTATAAAACAGAAAAGTTAGAAATTTTAATGAAATTATGAAGAAAATGGATCTATCTATTCAAAATGGACATGCAAATACTTACTTTAATATATAGGCACCAGAGATATGAGCAATGTAAAGGCAAATATAACATAGCTGCCTTGGAATATCTTCCTAAAATTAGAGAAATTATAATAAATGCTGTTACAGATTAACCATTTTGTCCAAAAAAAAAATCGTATCATTCATTAAGTTTGATTATTTTTCACGCTACCGCATAGATTTCTGGAAAGATTATCTGAATCAAAAACTACAGACCATCTAGACTATATTAGATAGGAAATGCAAGCAATTAAAAAATAAAAACAGTATATAAATAACTGAATGTACAAATATGAATATGTAGATATCTATATAGTTAATATAAACAAAAATATTAATAAGTGGAAAGAATAGGTATTTAATTAACTGTACTGACAGCTTCTCTCCATACCTTTCGGATCTTTTGGAAGTATAGCTCCGGCAGTGCATGAAGCCAATAGGCTATCTGGCAAATATAGAAGAATTTTACCTGAAAACTAAACAATAATTCAGGTTAAGAAAACACAAGATGATAAGTTTTCAACCTCTCAACATGAGATACAAGATTTTATTTCATTATCTTATATTAATTCATTCTGACTCATTATAGTTTATGATTCCTAAATCACAGGAGCCACAAATACAAAACAACTCTGTGGTGACAGTTTTTTGAATTAGCATCCATAATCTTCTTGATGGCAAGTTCTGAATCACCTTTTGAGACGGTAGCAAAGAAAAAAAACCACCAAAAAACCTAACACACAGAAACAGTTTATCCTGTGAGCCGTGGAACTCCCTTCCTAAAAAATGTGTATTATCCCCCTTCCCTCTATCACACTTGCCGGAGAAAAATGGGGCGCGTGGGGACAGACAAACAACACAATTTTGTAAGTCATCTTAATCAAAAAAATTTTTTTTTTAAATCAAGCTATAAATCCACCCTAATTTTAAGATTCAGTGTCCAACAAACATGTTTCTTCAGTGTGAAACAGTTCAGCAGTCCTACTATATCCCGTCTTGCAAACACTTTCACTTTAACTCAGCTACCATGGTTAAATTAAAGAAAATTAAGAACACAGGAAAGTACCTCTTGGATAGATGTTCAATTCATCAAAAACTACCTTTGGATAAAACAGCTGGCAGTTTTCAAACAGAAGAAAGTATTTTCATCTAGTTGTTATTCTTATAAGGTACCAGTGTCACTACTTTATTAGTGGTTCCCTAAAATTTGGGGTGGTTAAATATTCAGTGATTAGAAGTACCAGATATTTTCAAATTGAAAACAGAACACTTACATCATACGAGAATGGGGATAATCCTTCCAGAGTGTGGTTGGGTTCATCATAAATTCTTCCTAAAGAAAAAGGCCATTGATTTAAGGACCTTCTTAATACCTCAAGTCAATTTTTAAAATAAAAACAGCAAATAGAGCGACTTACTGTATTCAAAATACTTGCTCCCCATAAAAATGAAAACAAGTAGAAAAATGCTAGCTGTCCCGATTCATTGAATTTGCTGTGCTTTGTTTTTGACAAATGCAGACGTCTATTAATTTTCTAGAAATAAAAAGCAGATCAATAAATGTAATTTCTAAACCAAGAAAGCTATTTGGGAGTTAGTGTTCACCCCTGAATTTTTTTCTTTTTTTTTTTTTTCTTTGCAAATCTCCCATTCCTCAATCAAAATTCATAGCTCCCACCATTTAAGACCTTGATCAGCACTTTGTATGACAATTAGCTTCAATAAGACTTGCCACTATGGTAAAGTTCACATGGAAAATATTCAGATAATGTATTCAGACAGGTTTTTTCCCCCCATAATCAGAGTTATATTGCTAAGTTTTCCAAATCTCTTTGCACACTTAAAAACCATTTGAGCTTCTGTGGCTCAGATGACCTGTTTGTGACAACATTTAACACCATTCAATAATAGATGGTCTTCACAATGGCTTTAACAAATTCATTTTACTTTGCAACTGAGTTGGTGTAAAAGAGCATACAAGTTTGAGCTCCCTCTTTGAGGTGAAGTTCAGCTGACAAACAGAAATCCACCACTGCAGTAATTTTCATTTTTGATCTTCTGAATATATCTTACGAATCTAACGCAGCAAACCTCATTCGCAGATATTTTGAGTACGGCATGAACATTTAATGTTTGTTTTTACAGAAAAATATAAGTTATATTGATTGAAAGAAAGATTCAGTGGTCTGTACCATTAATAAATTAAGGAAATATCACTATAAAAGTATCACAGAATCATTTAGGTTGGAAAGACTCTTAAGATCATCGAGTCCAACCGTTAACCTAGCACTGCCAAGGCCACCACTAAACGAAGGTCTATTTGCATTTTTGTCAGAGAACAGAAGGATCAATCGTAACAGGGCTTCTAAATGCTAAACCATTCCTTTTACCATGGCTTACACTTATCTTGAAGAAAAACTGTTAGCAACTGATGGCTACAAATAACGTTTATAAAAGTAAATTATATCCCAGTAATAAACTTACATCTAATATGTACTCCTGGATGACAGCATGCAGATTAATAGCTACGAGCATGTAGAAGAAGATTGTGGCAATGTCTTTTGGACCATAGTCATAAAAATGAAATTGCTCACTGTTGTCATCTAAAAAAAAAAAGATATAAAAACAAAACCCCTGTATTTTTACATTCTTATGAAGGAGTACTCTGTGCAACTGAGAAAGGGCAGCAGTGACCATTGTTCTTGGAAGTTATATTAAATTGATACAGGGTACGAGTTATAAGTGTTACATTTTTAAAAATTACTTTTTATGCCTGATTAGATAACTCGGATCTTCTTTTCCTTCAATACAATGATATAGTTATAAGCCTAGAACAAACTATTGAGAGCAGTATACACTGAGCTGTAGCTTCAATCCATTTCTTTCATCTAGGCCATCAAAAAAGAAAAGAAAGAAAGAAAAAAAGAAAGAGGAAACCCCAAACCAACACACCAACACTCTATCCTCTATACTTTGGTAGAGACCAAACGAGATTCCATCTTAAGAAGCATGACTATATGTAGGAAAAAAGAAACTATACAGCGAGGATAGTATCCCTAGTAGTTCAACACATTGGTAAGTAACAACGTCCCCAGAATTAGTAATATGTTCCTATAAATCAAAAACAAAATTGAAAAAAAAAAATTCACACTGTTACAAAAATACTTCAAATGTTTGTATTTACCATGTTTAAGTGTGGGAGAACTTAGAAATTAAATTCAATTAAAAAAGCATGTATCAGGAGCAGCAGACCTAAGGAAGCCTGATTCTATAGGGATGTCTCTCCTTTGGCCCACAAACACCCATTACAACAACCTCACTTTTCTTTATGCATCTGAGACACTGCAATGGTAAAGAAAGAACTTGTACCACAACTAATCAAGAGCCACACTCATCCTGATTCACAGGCTAGCATATCTAACATTTACATTCTTCTGCTTTCACTTAAGAGAGGGCATTAATTTGGATGTCTCTTATCTATACAGCCGCCACTTTTCATAAACATCAAGGAATTTTGTTATCTTTAAGTTTTCCACCCTTTATCAAACTCTGTTTGTGTTGTCCAAATGCAAAACAGCAGAAATACAGACATCAAACAACTTTTTCCTAAATGAAACTAGGCTAGAAGGTGTCAAGGAAGCAATTACTGCTTCCTGTAACAGGAATGGTACATTAAGGTCCTAATGCACAGGACATCCATATAACTCCAAGTGTCAGATGTCCTACTTCTATATTTGAAAACAGCTTGTGATATAATCAGCGAACAAGTAATTGCATAGCGAATGCTATTTTTTCCTGGTCCCTAGCATTGTTTTTCAAAATGGACCTTCACTAGTAATATATTCATTGTTTTCAGAGGGCCAGAATTGAGATCTCAAAATTGCTTGTGCAGAACTCATCCACACCTCCTATTAAAACTAAAGGAAGCTATACCTTGTTCATTCCATTGTATGTATGTATATATACACATACATATACATGCATGCAACAAACACCATGAAGAAGTCGCATCACAGGCATCTTGGTAACTGACACATGGATTTTACTTTTGTCTCCGCCATAGGAGATTTCTACTTGATGCTGCTCAAATACCAGTAAAACAGAAGTCCACTGACTGTGTACACCTCAAGTGTTCAACATTAAACATCTCAGGAAACATTTGCAAAAAGTGATATATATTCACTACTGCAAGCAAAGTTGATCAATGCATTATTTTGAACATATTAAATGCAGTCAGAGTGCTACATTATTTGGAACGGTCGCAGCACAGAGATCTCAAGTGTGGAAATCAAGATTAGAACAAAAGTCATAGATTTTGCTAATTTCTCTGGACCTTAGTTCTTCATCTGGAATAATTCTAACACAGTACCTATTTTTTCCTGGTATTTTGCAGGAAAATGCAAAATTAATTAATGCAGATTAATTCCTGGAAAGAATTGAAAGTTATCAATACTATTAAGAAAAATTAAGTTATCAAATAAGGAAATTCCACTATCTGCTTACCACTCTTGTATATAGTACAGCAGGTAGAAAAGATTAAAAATAGGAAATATTTTTGGGGGAAGAAAGAATCAGTACTTTCTCCCTTTGTTATTTAAAAGCATGATTGAATCAGCAACATCTGTTACTTGAGAATAATAATGTGATATTTTTTAAATATAAACCACAAATCCATTACTAATGACATAAGAAATCATGAATAAGCAACAGATATATAGACGATTACCAAAATATTCTATTACTTCATAACTCCTGTTGATTGTATCAAAAAATGGAAAGAATGCATGCTTTTCACATTAAAACACAAGTTAGCAGCAGTGTTAACTATGGGAAAAATAACCCAGTATTATTCACAAGCAACAGAGAAAACAGTAGAATGTTTCAGTGAATATTGTATTAGTAAATCCAAAAGCAGACAAATATGAGAGTTCTATGATATTATAAAAGTGAAGTGAATTGAAGTCTTGAGGGGAAAAAAAAAAGTGATTTTTAATAGTTGAGCTCTTGCATTACAAGAAAAAAAAATAGATTTGGTTTAATCTCACCAATGGTATAGGTGACATTGTACTGCACAGCAATAAAGATGATGGCATACTTGGCTGGGACCTGAAATTCAAAAAGAAACAAGGAAAAAGTATCAGATTTTTCAAGCAAGCTAGACTATAAACACCCAAAACTAGAAGATTTTGCCATCAACAAGTGTTCTCCCACACATGATTTAAATCAAAGAGGTCCCAAAAGTGTTATTCATCTCCCACAAATGTGGAGGCTCACCTTGTTGCAAATCCTTTAACATTTGCTGCATAGGGTCAGGACTTGAATTATGTCCTTTTAGCTAAGCATCAAATTACTCACTGTTCTACTAAATAACATTTTAAAGTGTTTAGAAGTGTAAATGGCTTTCATTTATTTCAAAAGTTAAATGACTCTCTAAATTAAATCAGATGGAAAGTTTCACCTAACTTTGCAATATATTCAAAAAAGCAACGTTCTGCCTAAGTGTCCGTATAAATAAATAGAATATTCCAAACATCATAGTAGAATTATAAGGTTCATCAATTTCTTGTATGATAAATCAGACATTTTCTAAAAATTACAGTACAATCAAAGTAACCAATGGTATGCTTTTATGTGACTTTTTCTCCAGTGGCAAAATTAGGTTAAAAAAAACCCACAAACCCCCCCCAACGCTTTCAGCCATCCATACCTCTTCAAAATGTCTTCCCATTCCCATGCTCCAGTATATTTAGCCCCTAGCTGTAACAATGGAACTGTTTATAATGTGGATTACTGTATGACCCTACAACCAAGTGATAAGAGGTAAATATGTTTGCCTAGTTTATTTGAAAACATATCATTATCTGGTTTGCACAACTTCAAAAACAAACAGCTGTGCTGATGTAACTGAAAGAGTGGTAAGCTATAACACAGGGATATAAGTGGAAGGGGGAGGAAAAGAAAACCCAAAACTTGGTTCCTTTGCTGCAAAAACATGCAATATGGAATTACGTCCTACAGTGCCAATAGCAAACACATTTATTATGTTTGCAAGCACTCAGTTATCTAGTTCATAAATCAGAGAAGTACAACAGGCATAATCTGAAAACTGATGTTAAAAAAAAAAACAACAAACCTTTCCTGTATCTTTTATGCTTTCTCTTAAAATGATCTTCATAGATGTGAAACAAAGGAATATGAACTAAAAAAAGAAAGCTATTTTCCTCAGATGTTACACCATCTAATTTCTGAAAGTGTAACTAAGAACATTCAGGAGTATATAAAACAAGGATTAATTTATCCAGCTACAAAGTAAGCAAGAGGCACAACAATGCAAAAGATCCTCTGCAGCAAGAAAAGGGAGGAGAAAGCAAATTGCTTCAGTACACTGGGAGCGCACCTGTGAAATTAAGCAGTAGAGGAGTCATAATACTGAAAAGCGCTTTTAAGAGGAATTCTCATTAAGGAAAACAAAAGTACCAATTTTTCTGGCACAAAAAATTGACTTTCAGACACTGCGGTTCTGTGAACAATTTAACCTTTCGTAAGCCAGCACTACCATCAAAAAGGAGCAATCCTGCCTTTCTCTTTACTGCCAGTTGCTTTCTGTCTCTGTCCCACATTTGTGCCCTCAAAAGTAGTGGTGTGGTGAATTGGACAGGAAAATTACACAAGCTGAAACTGACCCAGCAAAACAGGAGGGAAGAGAAAACCCTATTAATCTTAACACAGATGAATTTCCTAATATTCTGCACTTCCTAGCTACAGAAGTTCTTTTGTGTGCTTGATGGGGAGAATAAGCAGCCGGAGCATCAATACCAACTTAAAATGTCCATGGAATAAGAGTGTGAAAAATTCATCGCCAACTACTCCTGGAAAGACCAGGAAGATATAGATAGTTACATAGGTATCAATGTCCTCAGCACCTAATTAAAACAAACATGCTTGTTTTCAGTAAGTCATTGCTCAGAACCCACAGCAACAGTCTCCCTTGTAGAAGGGCATTCAGACAGCACCACGTAACTTCAAGCAGACCCCTTCATTAGGGAGCTTTCCTGAGAATAAGCTTTTTTTTTTTTTTAATGCTCTTCGGGAGAAGAGGGTGGTAAGAATCTTTGCTAGAGCCCAGCAAGTTAGCTTTTCTGTTTGTCCGTGAAGCACACAACATAACACTACAAACATTTCACTCTGCTGGAAGTATGTAAGCCCCATTAAGTGGTATTCTGTAGTAAGATAGCCACAGATACAAGGATGATGTAAATTGTTCTAGGAGGAAAGAAATTGTATGAAACACTCTGAGGTGATACTAGAAGCTTAAAAAAACCCATAAATACTAAAAGAAAGGTTTCTTTAGAAGACAAGGCACACTCTGTTGTCAAGAAAAGGAGTAGGACTGGGCACATAAAAGACTATAAATATTCTCGGAGAAGGAAGAAGAATGAAAATAACAGTTAACACGCTAAAATTTAACTGCCGCTTTTCAGTGTGTTACAATCAGAGTGAATCTCCCTACACACATATATAGACCTCATAATAATCAGCAAAGTTAAGGTACGAGAAAGTACAATTAAGGTCGATAAACAACCTTACGTATAAGAATTCACCTTAAAGAAATTCTTATAATTGTATTTATGACATTCTAATGCTCATTTCTAATTTTAACATACGTATTGGTTTTTGGATGGTCTCATGGATATAGGCAATTGAATGCCACCTAGAAAAGAAAACCCTGTATTTACTATAGTACTATGTAAGCCCAAGCAAATCATTCAATAGGTAGTCAACTGTGAAAAGTTTCATTTACCCATTCTTTAGCTTATTAGCGTGTAACCTATGGTACCATGGGCTAGATTTGGAAATCTGTCATTGACAGATGCATCTGAAATCACAGTAAGTATAAAATGCTGTGAAAAGCACTGATTAAAAAAAAAAAAGTTGCCCTTCAGTGCTTCAAACTTAAAACCCAAAAATAATTTCACTTTAATACGGAGAGAAAATCAAGACCAAAAGAAAATAGCCATAACAGCTGCGTAGGCAAGTTCAGTAACACTTACGAAGCACTCGATATAGAATCATGATAAGCATCACCAGAATTTACTGGAAAAACATCAGTAGTTTTGTTTGTCTGGCAGACTGGATTACCCATTATAAAGATGGTATAAGACCTAGACAGTAACCAACAGAAATACAGATTTCATTCAAATAACTCCAGTATGTTTTTCTGCAGTGAATGAGGCAGAAGTGTAATACAGAGGTCTAACCTGTTACATACCACCACTGTTCCTCTGCATAATAAATGAAAGGTGTCTCAATCAAAAAAGTAATTTTTGTCTCAAAAAGGAGATGCAGATGTTTAAATTATACGATAAAAAGTATAATAGTATATATTCAAACAAGCACAATAAAAACATATCACAAGCTACGCTAGAGTCTCGTCTGCATTTGAACTTTTAGAATTATGCTGACTAGAAATGAGATAATTTGCTAATTATCCTTGGGTGTAACTAACATTAAGTCACTCTTTTTCCTCTAAAAGAAATCACCTTCATCAAAATAATAATGCTTACCCCAGGGGAGCTGCACAGTCCCTTCCAATACCTGTAGAATTACAAAAATACAACTTCCGTGGTGTATACAAAGCCTGAATTCAGACAAACGGAATTCAGAGATGGAACTCCAGAAGACATATTTGTTTTTAACAGCAAAAAGACACAGAGCAATATCTTTTTAAAAGTACCATATATAAGATACATAAAAAGTTCCATTTGGGATCCCAAACTGGATTTACTTTATCCCAGGTGCAGACATTTACTTTCTTTCTTAAAGCCTTTATCACCTGAGTTGTAAAGCCCCTAGCTATTTTTTTATCCCAAGATTGAGTTCTGCATTTAATATATTTACTTTTATGACCTACTCCTCCATAGATAACACAACTTCTTATACCTCAACACTGCATTTGTCCACCATTTAGAAGGAAATTATCTGACCATCACAACAGCTTTCTCTATTTCTGTCCGGTATCCTTAATGTTTTCAGAAGTGGGTCAAGATATATATATTAAAAAAAACAAACAGAACATCTACATGTAAGTATTTTACCTCAGAATTTAACAGTATTTTTAATTCAAAAATGCTCTGGTTTTTAATCTTATCCAACTGATGGGAAATGTTGAAATATTTAAGTATTTAAGTTGTAATAACAATAACATTTCAGTAAAGTATTTAAGCTATCCAGAATTTAAACTCTATTTACCAAGGCTTATCCCATACTCAGCACTGACATAAAATATTCATGTCGCAACACACACACATGGCTTTTGTCTCAAAAGTGGGAAAAAGATGCCCAAGAGAGATGCCTAATCCATCACCCCAGAAACTAATAAGCAGCTTGCACATGGAAACAAACTTTACGATAACTTTCAAA